TCACTCTCAGACTGTGTTAACAGCTGCTAAAAGCTAAAATAATCAAATGGAAACAAAAATGCCTTTATTTACTCAACTCTCAGCCACCTGTTTGACTAGCCTTTTGAACTGACTAGCCAGCTGTGTGGTGAATCTCACCTCAGGAGCTTTCATCAGTGGAAACAGACTGATTCCTCCCCTTCAAACACAGGGATCATCAGGGTTCTGTTGGCCAGTTGTGGAACCCCTGCGGGAATGGAATTTTGCAGAATGACCTCTTTACCTCCCTGTTTTGGTTGGAGGCCTCTCTGAGAGCGCCCAGTCCTTCCCTCTGCTTACACTACTTATTACTTCTGGAAGCGCTCTACTCCCATCCTCCTTGGAACCCCCAAGCCTCCACCCCAGCCCGGACCCTGCTTCCCTCCACCCATCTTGTTCTTTGAAGCCAAAATAAGATGTCCCCCCTCTACAAGGCCTTGACCCACAGATAGTAACATCTCAGAGCTGGATGGCGCTCTGAGATCTCATTTTCATCCATTTGCTGGCTCCTTTACCACTTACTGTCTGAACCACAGAATTTGGTAATTACAACAGCATGTAATGTTGACGTATGTTCGTAAAGTACATTTGTGTATGATCGTTCCCTATGCGGGGATATATGATCATTTCCTAGGTGAGAGGTGCTGTTCTGAAGGGACATGGCCTCTGTCTTGGATGAGCTTGCAGTTAAGCTGAGCAACTCAGTATGTGCAGAAAGAAATAGTCATAGGCCAGGACAGAATAAGGACAGAAAAGGCACAGGGTATGCGGGGACCATTTCTAAGGGTGTGTGGTGAAGAGGGAAGGTTTGCTGAGGTGACGCTGTTTGAGTGAAGCCTGAAGGATTTGGGCAGGTTGAAACCTGGCAGAAGGGCCGAGAGGGTGAATGGCGTTGCTCAAGTCGAGGGGCAGAGGCGGGAATAACGGGGAGCGTTTGGAGAGCAGAAGTGGGCTTTGAGATGATTACTCTGACATTTCTGAGTAGTGTGGGTTTGGGAGAGGCCATCCAAATCCAAGGTGAGAATGAAGGAGCCTGGGAGTCAAGTCCCCAGAATTATGTAGCCCATCCTGTTTTCCTCTCTTCCTTGCTTCCCTCAAGGCATATATGCCTTCCTTCCTTCCTTCCCCTTTAAAGTCATGTTCACCGTGTGTTTAAATGAGGTCAGTTTGAGATGATAAAAAGTCCCAAAGGAAGGAGTGTGTCCAGCAGGTAATATCAGCTCTCCAAAGACAAAAGGGACTGGACACCTACTTGAAACATGATGGAAGGGAATATACTGGCTAATGTTTCAATAAAATATATCAATACAGTATCTAAGTCTCATACTTTGGGCACTTGCAAGACACCTGGGTGGTGATTTCTTTACTAGCCATGAAGGCTGGAGATACAGATTTCAGAGTTGTCCTCATAGAGGTGGGAATTATGTGAGTAGATGAGGCTTCTTGGGAGGATTGTGTCAAGAGAAGGGAAAGAGATCAACATGAAACCTTGGGGGACCTTCTTACGTTTAGGGAGCACGACATAGAAGAAGAGACAGGAAAGGAGACAAGGAAGAAGTAAAGACCTATCACAGAACATGCTAGCAAAGACCTCAAATGGAAATCAGGAGTCAAATAAGGTCAGAGTAATCAAGGAAAGAAGAAGTTTCTATAGGAGATGGACAGTATTATCAAACAGAAAAATTAAAGAGAAGAAACAAAAAAGGGGCTTTGCATGTAGCAGCAGGGTTTGGAGACCAGTAGGGAGATGGAAAGTCTGGACAAGACTTTGTAGGTAAAGCCTGCATTTGGAGGACTTGGGGGCTGGTATTCGACTGTGTAGCTGGGAATCTGAGGGATGTAACTTAGTCTTGATATGCTAATGAGGTCCTATATGTGGATCTCTATAGTTGTGCTCTCAAGTGATCTTTTAAAATTATTAATAGATTTATTGAGGTATAACTTACATACCATAAAATCTATCCATTGTAAGTGTACAACTCAATGACTTTTAGTATGTTTACAGAGGTGTGCAACTATCACCACAATATAATTTTAGAATATTTCCATCATCCCAAAAGGAAAACTTGGGCCGGGTAGTTGCTCCCCATTTTCACCTCCAGCCCTAGGTAACCACTAATCTTCTTTCTTTCTCTAAAGATTTGCCCTTTCTGGACATTTCATATAAATGGAACCATGTGTTCTTTTGTTTTTGGCTTCTTTCACTCAGCACAATGCTTCTGAGGTTCATCCGTGTTGTATTAGTACGTCATTCCCTTTCATTGGCAAAAAACACTCCATTGTATGGATAGGCCACACTTTGTTTATTCATTCACCAGCTGATGAACATTTGGGTCATTTCCACTTTTCAGCTATTATGAATAAGGCTGCTATGAGCATTCGTGTACAAGCCTTTGTGTGGACATATGTCGTCATTCCTCCTGGGTAGATACTGAACTTGCTGGGTCATAGGGTAATGCTACATTTAACATTATGAGAAATTGCCAAACTGGTTTCCAAAGTGGCTGCACCATTTATATTCCCACTGTATGACGGTTCCCATTTTTCTACATCCTCAATAACACTTGTCTTTCCTTTTCTACTATAGCCATTCGAGTGGGAGTGACGGGTATTTCATTGTGGTTTTGATTTACATTTCCCTAAGAACTAAGTGCTTAGCATCATGTGCTTATTGGCTGTTTGATAACTTCTTTGGAAAAATGTCTACTCAGATTCTATTATCCATTTTTAAAAATTGGTTGTCTTTTCATTATTAGCTGGGGAGTTCTTTATCTATTTTGGATATATATTTCTTACCGAGTGTATGATTTGAAAGCATTTTTCTCGCAGGCGGAGGGTTGTCATCACTCTCCCCAAGTGTCTTGAAGTACAAAAGCATTTAATGTTGATGAAGTCCAATATCTCAGTCTTTTCTTTGTGTACTTTTTGTGTCATATCTAAGAAATAACTGACTGATCCAACATCATGAAGATTTACTCCTGTGTTTTCTTCTGCGAGTTTTATACTTGTAGTTCTTACATCTAGGTGTGCAATACATTTTGAGCTAATTTCTGTGTTTGGTGTGAGGTAGTTGCTCTGGCACCATTTGTTGAAAAAACTATTCCTTTCTTGATATTTTTGTAGGAAATCAACTGACCATGAATGTTAGAGTTTATTCCTGGGCTCTCAGTTTTACTTCCTATGTCCATCCTTATGCCAGGACCACACTATCACGATTGCTGTAGCTTTGTAGTGAGTTTTGAAATAGGGGTGTGTAAGTCTTCCCACTTCTTACTTCTTTTTGAAGATGGTTTTGGCTATTCTGAGTCACTTGTGTTTCCAAATAAGTTTTAGGATGAGCTTTTCAACTTCTGGAAAAAAAATCCAGGTAGGATTTTGTTAGGTGCTGTGTTGAATCTATAGAACAATTTAGGAAATATTGCTAACTTAACAATATTAAGTCTTTTGATCCACAAACATGAGACGTCCACTTAGTCAGGTTCCAAATTCTTTCCACACTGCTTTATAATTTTCAGTGCACAAGTCTTGCACTTCTTTTAAAATATTTCTAGGCATTTTTTTTTGATGTTATTATGAATAGAATTATTTTCTTAATTTCACTTTTGTGATGTATGAAAACTCAACTGATCTTGCATCTTGCTTTGCTGAATTTGTTTATTAGTTCTGATAGAATTATGTGGATTCTCTGCATCACAAGAATCTACAAGATCATGTTTCCTGCAAATAAAAACAGTTAACTTCTTCCTTTCTAATCTTGATACCTTCAGACGATCTTTATAATCACCTTGGGAGTTATGTAAAGGCAAGTCTGCAGATGAGAGAGCTCAAGTCTGGGGAGGGTATGCAGTTTGTGTGAGGTCACCTAGCCAGGAATTGGATAAACCAGGACCAGAACGAGGACCTCTGCATTCCCCCAGCCCAGCCCATCACTCAGCATCTTCACCATGCAGCCTCTGGTTGGTGGAGTCAGAGTCTGCGAGGACGATGGAGGCCTCTGTCTCTGCAGCACTCCTATTGTCCTCCTTTGTTACAGCCGCTAGATTTAGTCAAGAGGGAACAGGATGTACATTTCCCAAACGTCTGCAGGATTCCTACATCCATGTGTCTAAAGCACCTAGTCCCAGGTGCTTTCAAATAGTGTTTCAGTCAGTCCTCAGAAAACCATGTAAGGTGGGCATAGTTATCCTGGTTTTTGTTTTTTCTTTTTGCGGTACGTGGGCCTCTCACTGCTGTGGCCTCTCCCGTTGTGAAGCACAGGCTCCAGACGCGCAGGCCCGGCGACCATGGCTCATGGGCCCAGCCGCTCCGCGGCATGTGGGATCCTCCCGGACCGGGGCATCGGCAGGCGGACTCTCAACCACTGCGCCACCAGGGAAGCCCTATACTGGTTTTATAGATGAGGAAACCGAGGTTGTGAGCTCTTTTTTTAAAATTTCTTTTAATTTTGATTATTTATTTATTTATTTTTGGATGTCCTTATTTTTATTTATTTATTTTAACATCTTTATTGGAGTATAATTGCTTTACATTGTTGTGTTAGTTTCTGCTTTATAACAAAGTGAATCAGCTATACATAAACATATATCCCATATCCCCTCCCTCTTGCATCTCCCTCCCTCCCTCCCTATCCCACCCCTCTAGGTGGTCACAAAGCACCGAGTTGATCTCCCTGTGCTATGCAGCTGCTTCCCACTAGCTATCTATTTTACGTTTGGTAGTGTATATATGTCCATGCCACTCTCTCACTTCGTCCCAGCTTACCCTTCCCCCTCCCCATATCCTCAAGTCCATTCTCTAGTAGGTCTGTGTCTTTGGTCCCATCCTACCCCTAGGTTCTTCATGACATGTTTTTTTTTTTCTTGGATTCCATATATATGTGTTAGCATACGGTATTTGTTTTTCTCTTTCTGACTTACTTCACTCTGTAGGACAGACTCTAGGTCCATCCACCTCACTACAAATAACTCAGTTTCGTTTCTTTTTATGTGTGAGCTCTTAACTTACTCATTCAAGCTCACAGAGCCCCAGGATGGCAGAACTGTGAGTACAAAATCCTGTGCTCTTGTTAGGACTTCCCACCTTCAAAGAAGTGGCTCTCAGCGCAGCACCGTCCTGTGAGGCCATCTAAGTGTCTGTCCCTCAGACAGTGACCTTGTAGCTGCATTATGCACATGACGCACGCCTGTACACACAGACTCCACAGTGCATGTGTCACGGCCCTTCCAAGCTTCTTCCAGACTAGGCAACCTCACGGACAACTCTGTTTTTAAACCCTCCTTTGTGTGTCTCAATGGACAATACGAACAATAAGCGCTTCTGGGGTTGAGTACAAAAGAGAGGATTCAACCTCAGACACTCAGCTACTTATCTCAAATGGCCACGGCTGAACAGTTGTGAGGAATGGTTTAAACAGGCTTCTTTTGATAAGCCCCATCTGGGACACTGACCCAGGCCACCGAGGCGCTGCTTCGGACTAGCTGCGTGTAAGTACACTTGATTCCGGGGGCCTGGGAGGGCATGGTGGTCCCGGTGAGGGCAGGACCCTCCCACTCAAGTGTCTCATCTACCCTCACACTTAGCAGGAGCTCCGTTAAGTGTCTCTTTGTGTTTGTTTTAAAATTAGTTGGAAGCTGCTTTATCCTAAATACTCAGCCAGTTTCCTTTTAAGCTATTCTCTGCCCCATTCCACCCCTCACTCCTTACAGAAAGGCAGTCCCTGCTGCTAGGCCATCAAGGGGGACCTTTTTAGTTTCACAGCAGATGGAAAATCCAAATGGACGTGGCAAAGATTGCGTCAGACATTGCCTTACGACTCTCCTCAGCCCCAATGATACCCGACCCAGGACAGGTTTTAGGAATGCAAAGCAGAAATGGGTATAATTAAGTATTTTGCAAACTCTGTCAAATATTTTAAGAGGCAAGTAGAGACCCAATTTAAAACTCCTATGGTTTACCTCTTCACTAAATTCCAAATTGGTGAGTAATCCAGAGCTCTGGTGGCTTAAAACAACTTCAGTCTCATTCCCAAGAGATTTTAGGTTTGGGAGTTTAAGCCATTTATAACTGAGAGTCTGGGACAGTTCTCAGCAACAGCAGTCCCCTCGGTCGACATGGTGTGAGGTAGAAGGTATCCTGTTTGCCCAGCTTCCACCTCCAGGTGGTTTTGTGGTCAGCAGGAGAATATGAATTTCTTAATAATGTGAAATAAAAAGGCAGTGCTTCTGCCCAAACAAGATTACCTTGTATTTGACTTCGCCATATTTTACAGTTTTTCAGGTCACGGCCAGACTCTAACCACTTCTCCCCTCACATGAGCCCCCTTCCTCTCTGTGTTCGTGTGCCAATCTGGGCTTGGCCTGGTCACTTCCTCCCTGTCTCTTGATGGTGTCTGCGTGAGAAGGGTAATGGATTAGAAGCAAGAGATGTTGGTTCAAGTCCGGCTATGGTGATTTCTAAACCCGCTGGCCTCAAAGTTTTTCTGGTTTCGAGTTGCTCTTCTGAAAAAAATGAAGGGGTTTAGGGCTCCGAGGAGTGAGTTCAAATGCTGTGGCAAGGTCCTCTTTCTTTATTTTATTTTATTTTTTTGCGGTACGCGGGCCTCCCACTGTTGTGGCCTCTCCCATTGTGGAGCACAGGTTCCGGACGCGCAGGCTCAGCGGCCACAGCTCACGGGCCTAGCCGCTCCGCGACATGTGGGATCTTCCCGGACCGGGGCACGAACCCGCGTCCCCTGCATCGGCAGGCGGACTCCCAACCACTGCGCCACCAGGGAAGCCCAAGGTCCTCTTTCTTATCTGTTGTCGTGACCACTTCTGCTCTGCTTCCCCCGAACCTTCTGACCTTGGCTCACGTCACGGGGAGGGCAGTGTGTTGTTAGCTGATCCGTGCTCCTCTTCACTGCGTCGCTACTGAACTGAACGGGCACTGCGGCTGCGGTTAGCATTTGAAGCCAGACGACCATACATTTATTTTTCAAAGCAGGAATGTAGTTTTTGCCCCCTACGCCTCGCCCTGTTAAGATTCAGAGTTATGATTTTTAAAAGGGGGAAAATGGCCTGGCTTGAGGTAGGATTTGGGGGATTAGAAGCCTAGGCCAGAAATTTCTACTTAAAATCACATCCTGCACTACCAGTTTACCTGAGGAACAAAGTTTAATTCTTTTTTGGGAAAAACCTAATGGACTCCATCGCCCTCTGTTTCACTGGAATAACCCCCATGTAGAGCCGTGGCAGGGAAAGGAGGACGGCGAGGGAAGAATTCTCTGGTGTAGCCAGGAGGAACTGTTTACCATACCAACTCCAATCCACTTTCCCCGCGCAGGGCCTGCTGGCCCACCAGGCACACAGAGCGGCTCGGTTCCAAACCTCTGAAACAGTCTGACAGGCTGAGTGGCCGCCCTGGTGGGTCACAGATGGAAAATCCAGGAAATGAAGTGTTTTAAAAGAATGGCAAATACATTCGCTTGCTTCAGCGCCTTACCTGTCATTTCGATTCCTATCACTCTTTCTAGGTGGATTCAGTTTCAAGTCAAGTGTTAATAAGACCAGATGTTGACTTCTACATGGTATCAGTACCTATTCTGTCACATAAGGAAACAAATAAAATGCAAAAATGGCCCTGTCAGTGGGCCCAGTGGATTACTAATGAATCTCACAATTGCGGTTTGATGTCTTTATTTTGAAACGTCTCCACCATTTAATTGGTAATACATTCTCCTGAATCTTTTCTCATCAGAATTGCTTCTCCCTGAAGCTAAATTGTTCCTAAATTTTCCAACCTCTGGAGCTACTTGACATCACTTTTCACAGGTGGCTTCTCTTGAATTCCCTTTACATCTTACAAGAGATGCCCGCCTGTGCTCCCACGGAGGGGACTCCTAGCGACCACCAGCAAACATAGAGTGGTCAGGCCAAGGTGCGGCTTCAGGATGGAAGCTTCTCATCACGTGCCCACGATGACACAAATCGAACATAGGTTTCCAGATCTTCAGATAATATTGGGAGGAGTAGAAACGGCAGTTGGTGAAGAAATGACCTTCTTTACTTGGAGCAAAAATCTTGAATGATGTTTGATTTTGTTAACTAGAGTAAGGTTGGTATTTTAAGAAAATGTTCACTTTGCGCAATCTCCCCACTGCAGCTGGGCTCAGTTAACGTTTTCACAAGGAGACACCACGAGGAAATGCTTCAGGCACAGTGAAAACCAATGCTTGACTTCTGGAATTGAAATGTAAACATGAGAATGAAAGCAAAGATCACTGGGCTTGTTCAACCCATGGCCATGTTACATTCTTTCCTGGGGTGGGCTCCTATGAGAGCATGTGCCTTTAATGTTAGCTCAGAGAGACTTATGACAAGATACCTCTGCTCCCATAAATGATCTAGTACATTCTAGCATCCAATAATCAGTCTTTTATTTTTATTAAAGAATGTATACTCTGTGATAGTGGGGAGTCTTGTTCACTGCTGTATCCCCAGCTCCTGGAACAGTGCCTGACTCATTCATCCATTACATAAATATTCCCAGAGTGCTTGCTATGTGGACATGAGAGGTGTTCATCTTTCATTTATTTTTTACTCAAAAAGCATCCAGTGGGCTTCCCTGGTGGCGCAGTCGTTGAGAGTCCGCCTGCCGATGCAGGGGACACGGGTTCGTGCCCTGGTCTGGGAGGATCCCACATGCCACGGAGCGGCTGGGCCCGTGAGCCATGGCCGCTGAGCCAGCGCGTCCGGAGCCTGTGCTCCGCAACGGGAGAGGCCACAACAGTGAGAGGCCCGCGAACTCAAAAAAAAAAAAGCATCCAGTGCCTTTCGTGAGCCCAGAGGTACACTCTTCTAGGTACTGGAGATACACATGAACAAAACAGGCCAGAGTTTCCACCCTCATGGAACTTATATTCCTGTGAAGTGCCACAGACAAATGAACAAATAATGTCATGTAGTAAAAAATTCTATGGAAAAAGTGAAAAAGGTTAAGGGCTCCGAGAACGCTGAGAATGCCATTTCATATAGAGTGGTCTGCAAACGCCTCTCTGGTAAGATAGAATTCAAGCAAAGACCTGAAGCGAGTAAGGGGGCTGGCCACATAGATATGTGACAGCAAAGAGTTCCAGACGAGGGGACAGCAAGGATGAAAGCTCAGAGGCAGGCACATGCTCGGGATCTTGGAGGGACCGCAAAGAGCCAGGGTAGCCACAACAAAAGTGAGTGATGGGGAGAGTGGCAGACGAGGCCTGCGACCTAACAGGCGGTGTGGCTGCCGTAGAAATGCTCGGCTCCGATGTCCAGCTGCGGGGAGCCTGGTTAACCCATGGTTCCCCTGCTGCCCGCTGGGCCCACCACTGTGCTGGTGCCGAAGCCCCACTTCTCCCAGGCTGATCCTAACCAATGACCGAGCAAGGCCGGGGTCCTACCTTTGCCCATTCCTCTGATGGGTGACTTTGGCTGAAGGACCGCCATCAATCTGGCCAAACTTTCTTACATTTGCAGAGGCCCTTTCTTCCCAGCCCCTTCCTTCTCCACCTCCTTTCGCAAATGTCAGACCTTCACAGGTGGAGGATTCTCCCGCCTGCTCCTGCTTCTTCCTCTTCATCTGTAACAGCTGCTTCCCTCAGTAAACTTCATGCATGTCTAATCTTCTCTCAGTGTCTCCTTCCCGAAGGGCCTGAGCTAACACAAGGCCACATCAGGTCCCTGGAGGTCATGCAGACTCTGGACCTTATCTGAGTGCAGAGAAAGGCACTGGAGGGTTTTGAGTAGAGGGGTGGTGTGATATAACTCTCATCTTAGAAAATCCCTCTGGATACTGGGGCAGAGAACAGGGACCAGCGAGGGTGAGGGTGGAAGCAGGGTCACGCAGATGTATGAATGGCAGTCTAACTTTTGATGTCATCCTTCTACCACCACTGCTCTTCCTAAGTTCACCCAAGACCTTCTAATAGCAACATCCAATGCCATCTTTCTACCTCTCTCTGTGGAATTTTACCTTTTGACCATCCCTGCCTTCTACAGACTGTCTGTTTATTGGGTCCCAAGTTTCCATCCTCCTCTCAATCTCCCCTTCTAGTAACTTCCACTGACTTCTCTTTTGCAAGCCCTTCACACTGAGGCTCCAAGAGGAGCTTGGTTCTTGTCCTCTGGTCTTTGCTTGTTCTCTCTTCTCATCTTGGTGGTCTCATCCCTCATGAGGTGTTACCCCTCATGCACATTTATTGGTAGTTCTCATTTGTCACCACTTGTGCCCCAGGGAACCACTAATCTACTTTATGTCTTTTTAACTTTGCCTTTCATGGCTATTTCACATAAATGGAGTCATTCAATATGTGGTCCCTTGGGTCTTGCTTCTTTTACTGAGCGTAATATTTTTGAGGCTCATTCACCTGGTGGCGTGTCCATAGTATGTTCCTTTTTATTGCTGAGTAGTATTCCATCATATGGATATCTGCCAAGCTTTTATAATAAAAAAAAAAATCTTAAAGCTACAA